AACTTTTGTTTAAACTGTGTATGCTGTCCGTAGTGGATGCAATGATACAATAAAACCGTATCTTATCTTATCTAAGGTCTGTCATCGAGTCAACTGGCGTGGTTTCGAATCCCCGGTAGAACGTGACAAGGAGTAGGGTCGCCTGTCCAACCTCGTGGGTTTTCTCCGGGACCCTCGGTTTCTCCTACTACTAAAGACCCCTACGCGCAAGCGAATTATTGAAAAAAATTGAACCATAACCCCAAATTCCCTATCTTCCCAAGACACGGCTTAGACCGTTGTTTACGGTCACTTGGCCCCTCAAAATAGGGTCGGTCGGTCGGTAGGAAAATCTATTTCTATCACGGAGTTTATATTATCTTTTTCCTAGAATTTCTAGCTTACATACTGAGTAAAGTTCTTGAAAATAATACCGAAATTTCAGTGTTGGAAATTGTCTAGAGAAAATCACGCCAAGAACGAGTTATAGGATTTGGCCCGTTTTCATTAGCCCAGGTTAGGAGCAGAACAGTAGGAGGTTAAACCCCATTTCATTTTATAGGATTTGGGAAATGTTTAAGGTCGACGATTTTGGCTGAAAAATAAGGTCGGTCGGGTAACCGTAAACACATGTATTTTGATCTTTTGGCCTTATAATCTATCTGCCATTTCTTCAGAAATGCTGGTAATCGGCAGATGCCAGGAAAGAAACCAGGCAATTCAGGTATATTTGATTATATTTTTTTTTTTTTGCAGAATATCTTTCAGATTTAAGCATATTTGTTTACGAAACAGACCCAGGTTCTGCACAGGCTATGCCAACTCTGTGTGCATTTTTCCCTGGACCTTTTGGGGAATTCAAAACTTTTGAGTGTGACCAGATAACGTATGGAAGATTTGTAAAATTAACTAAACCTGGTGAATTATTAATGGTGTGTGAAGTGGAAATTTCAGGCACATCCCTACTGGATTAAATTACAAAAAGCAAAGAAATTGAATGGAGTTAAGGTCTTTTCAAAATAAGACTCGTTATTTTTTTAAAATATTTTCACGTTACAGGCGCTTGTGGTCATGCAGGTTTCTTAGGAGGCTGGGATAGAGACAATGTAGAGTTTCAGTCGTTATGTCTGGGTTCTAGTCTTGTTAGACTGTAGATATTATAATAACCCTTTAATGTACAATCATAGATGTTGTAGTTTCCTGTATCAAATTATATAAACATAGTTATAACCGCACCGTGTTCCGGAGTTAATTAATAATTGATCATATACACAAGGTGGAAATCACGAGTTAATCCATCTATTTAACAACACCCTAGTGTCCCGAGCCGTTTTCAGGAATTTCCTGATTAGATAGTCACATATGTCCCCGTAGTGCCCGGCCCATCTGGCTCTGAAATCAATTATCAAAACAATTTCCGCTGAACTTTAGTGTTTTGCTCCGACTGGGCTAACGAAGACGGGCATAGGCGATGCAGTGTGCTGTGAGGGAAATGTTGTTGTTGCCCAGACAGCGGTGCTATGGCCTACTTTTATTTCGAATTCCAACTGTCAATGGTTATTTTACGTGCACGTCAATGTGTACACGGGACCTCGGGTTTTCGTCCCAGCTGAACAACTATAGGTTGTCCCTTGCGAATCCCTCCGTCCTGTACCACTGACAACGGTTCACCACGCCGGCAAAATCACGATGGACTTAAACTTCAGTATGAAAAAAAGTATGTTTATGGACCTAGTTATATGGAGCGGACTAACCGTAAATGTGGGCCAGCCCTGATACCCAAGCCTGATAATTGAGCTGTTTATATAAACCGAGCTAGTTTACCACGACCTCATCTCGGCCAGCCCTTGTAAGTAAACTGGGCTAACCCGATTAAAAGTTTATATGACCCAGGGCCATACATTAAACGAACACTATGCACGGCTGCACGCATGGACCCGTTTTTAGAACTTTTCAGCCAGCCCTCGCCCGAAATGAACTGCATATCTATCTAAAACTATGTATTTAAATAAGCCAACAGTGAGGCTGATGTTCCCCGCCTAAATCCCAAAATAAATAGATAGAACATTATTTAATCGCACATTTATTTTTATTCAAAAGAATCAAGCAATGAAACTGATTATCAACTATACACTAGATTTCATCACTCTCTGTCAGGTATAATCAAAGTATCTTGGCCCAAAGCATCGACCAATGAAATTGCTTAGCTTTAGCTCGAAATGTTAATCATTGAACTCAGTCAAGACATTCACCTAATGAACATCTACATCAAGTTTAAATATTCTACCTCAATTAAAAGCAGAGTTGTTATGTTCCAAATCAAATTGCTTATCGCTCCTTAGCCCAAGCAGAAAATTCTCATCATCGAACTTAGTCACCGAAGTGATATCGCCGAATTTTTGGGAACATTTCGCGCGAACGATTTTGATTAGCCAATCAGAGTGAGAGGCAAAAGGCATGTATGATGGAATTGTCAATTCGTCAGTTTCATCTGCGAATTTCCGCGCGTACATCTATGGCCAATTTTAGTATAAATGGACCTTTAACCGTATTTTTTTGGCGTTTCTTTTATGTCCCCTTCTCGAAAATCTCGAATCAAGGTGGTCATACAGTGGGATTTCGATTGCAAACTACATAAATATCGCTACCGGTACATGTATATAGGACCACTTTCAAGTTTCTGTACTCGGGGCCTGGAATAGCAGGAAATAGTGCCATTCGGAAAAAAAGCCAAAATTCAAAAATCAATTTAGGTCCGATTTTTAATCCCTTTCGGTAAAAAACATGTCAAACTTTGATGGCCATAGGAGGAGATACATTTTGAGCGACACCCTTTCACTCGACTGTATTGAATATATATTAATATCACATTTTATTACACCCATTTTTGAGCCATCACACGTGGTACTGTTATGTCAGGTCCGTTCGTTCGTTTCTGAGGTTTTACGTTCTTTCCACCAAGGGTGATATCGTGGACAAGTGTTTCCTAAGAAACTTGTCAGAGAAAGCCACAAAATAGGCTTGATCGAGCTTATTTGGATAAGACACAATGTCTTTGCAGGGAGGCGCCCAAGGTATATTTCATCAAAAGGAGAGACTCCGGGTGTAAGAAAAGAAAGTACCGGTATGGCGAGTAAGGCCTATGATTATACCACGTTTATATACATATTACCCATCACATGAATGCCACTCTTATATTAGCCTCGGATTCTATTACTATACACAATTCGTGGTACTACTTTACGACCATATAATATATACTTGACACGTGTTAGTGGTGTATTACTGTCATACTGTCATTTTTTTTAAAATGGTGAGTATTAATCGACCGAGCGACTACCTATATATTGCTATTTATTTTAATAGATATTGTAAATAAGGTCTAGAAACACATCAAAGTTATTAAATAATTAACATAATTTACAAAATCATCTTTCAATAAGGAGGGCGTGGTATTTTGGAGCGTAGTAGGGGCCTATTTAGCCACTGCCTACCAGAGTCAAGAAAAAGATTAGGCCTACACGGATTCCACAGGGACTTGCACTCAGATAATTGTTTTATCTATCTTTAATCAATTAACGTACCTTTGCGTGTGTATAAAAGATTTGTTTCGGAAAATAGTTGACGCCATGAAACGCAGTTGTTTGTGGAAATTGGACTTGGATAGAACAAACCCGAGTAACTCAGAGATACTAAACGAATAATTTACGTTTCTTTGGCATTGTGTGGTGTAATGGTCGAGAGCGAGACATAAAGGGGAGGCCCGATTCACAGTCCCGAACGTCCCGAATTGACAGAATTGCAATCAAGTTACGCATTTAATTCAGTCCAGTCACAGTTCTGTCAGTCCCGTGTACGGAGGTGGTGTGAGTAGAGTAGAATTGTGCCGTAATTAAACACAATGAATAAGTTTCGGCTGCATGGTTGGTTGAGATATTTACTTATCCAGTTGACGCATGTGTTGTAGCCCGAAATACCCCTTTTCACTCAATTGTCACTATTTTGGGGATTGAGAGAATTCAATTCCGGAACGTTCAATCGAGTACCCCGTAAGTAATATAGTGCTATATAGTGCTACTGATCGAGGGCATTACGCTCTGTCTTGCTCAAGACCATTAAACAACTAAAAATACAGACACTGTCCCAGGGTGCATTTCCTTGTGTATAAATAATGTACGATTGGCAAGTTACCAGTACAAAGGATGATGTCAATCTGTATTTTAATGGCAATTTTTTGGTCTGTCTTTTTAAAAGTATTTTCTTCTATTTATAGCCACTGTTTGGCATTTGCATTTTTTTTTGACAATATCAAGGCTTAACTGAGCTAAACCCGTAAGCAAATATTATCCATGATATTCGAAATTAAAAACATGAGTTGGAATTCAATCTTGGTCCATTTCAATCTATAATGATGTTATTTACAGTGAAAATATGAGATCCTAATATCCAATATCAATCTGATTAAAACACCAATCCTGTTTCGTTTCTTTTTTTATAGTTCAAAATTTTGTTTTACTTGTCTATACTACACTAGGATCTGGAAGAGTTGTTATATAACCTGTGTCCTGGATGATGTGAGGGATTAGCCAATGAAACAGTCTGTTACGGCAAGTTTTTGGCGTGAGGTGCACGGAACTGTGGGTAGCCCACTAGAAACATCAACTCTGATTGGTTAATCAGATGTCTGACGTCATAGAACCAAAAGCTGCTTGTATGACCCCTGACGTAACCTTCCACAAAAAACTGGTCAGATCTTTATGTAGTAGAGGCCATCGAAAGTATAGAAACACGATACAAAATATAGGTATTTTAATGAGATTGATCAAATATTTAAGACATAATGTTTTTCAGCACCATTTGTAATGAATAAAGAAAACATATCCCGGTAGACAATGCAGAAGTAATTAAAGATGGCTGATTCATATTGGACAAAATAATAATAAAAAAAACCCTGTAGAATGGACTATGCAGGCTGAAACAACTGCCGTTTCACCGAACATAATTGATTAGAAATGACAATAACAGTTTTAAACTTTTACTTTGTACATGCATACACTCATATTATATTATGAGCTTTTAGACTCATTGTTGTCTATTTTAAGTTTCTAAAGGATAGAGCTAAACACCTTTTAATCCGGGCTAAAATTTACTCAGATACTGAAATTTGGGCATATCGAATGTCTTTAAAAAAAAAAAAACAGTTCATGGTGCCCTTTTTAAGTGATACAGCAGTATCCAATAACCAGAATATTTGTTACATGGCCTTACGTGCTTTTAAATTTTCTTACTTTTATTATGAGTTTTAATATGAAGTTGTAGATAACTCTTTAACTTAAAAGATTTACAACAAATATTACAGCTGTGCTTTACATCACTATGAAGCTGCATATGGCGCTTTAAGGAATTCTTTAGTCCGAACTGCTGGCCACATATTCCACATTCAAAAGCTTTTTCACCAGAGTGCATCACAGCATGTGAATTTAGATGGGCTACCTGTGTGAAGGATTTATTGCAGACATGACACCGAAAAGGTTTTTCACCTGTGTGTATTCTAATATGTTTTTTCAGCACACTGGCATCCGAATACGATTTATTACAAAACCCACATTCAAAAGGTTTCTCGCCTGTATGACTTCTAACATGTTTTTCGAGATCATGTTTACTGACGTATGATTTGCTACAAAGATCACATTTGAAATGAGAATGTTCAGTATGAATCATACTGTGTTTCTTTAGATTATAATCACGACTAAACGACTTATCACAAACATCACATTTAAATAGCTTATTTTCACTGTGAGTTTCCATATGCAGCTTTAAAGATGCTTTTTCAATAAATAATTTGTTGCAAATGTCACACTTATGACACTTGTCCTTCATGTGGATCTTTAAATGCCTAAACAGATATCTTTTCTGCATAAAAGAACTTTCACAAACACCACATCGAAAAGATTTATCCACGCTATGAGTTTCCTTATGTCTAGAAAGACTGGAGCGGTTACTAAATATTCTTTCGCAGATTGGACATACATGTATATTGTTTTTTGGTCTCTGAGCATCAATAATAGAGTATGCTTCAGATGTGTTGTTCTGTACATGTTTTTCTCTATGTACTTCAAGATCACCATTAGTTTGAAAAGTTTCCTGGCATTCTTCACACTCGTGCAATGTTTGTGTGACGTCAGCATGCATTCTTATATGTTCCTCCAAATCAGTCTCAAGTGAAAATTCTTCATCACAAACAGAACATTGCACTACGTCAAGATCAGAACCTTTTACTTCATCTTTAAAATGTATTTTGTTGTGGGCTTTTAAGTCATGGTATTGTTCAAAGACGCTATCACATACAGAACACTGGTGAAAACTGTTCATATTATCCATTTCCTGTAATAATGAGATACAATAATCTTTAACATAACAAAGAGAGAGAGGTAAAAATAGGGTTGAATGTCTATTTGACTGAAACCATATCATTATGGGCCTAGAATATGGTACAACTTTAATTTCATAAGTCACATGCACATATAGGGGACTTTAGTAGTGGGAGAAAAACGGAGGACCTGGAAAAAACCCACATGACTGAGCAGGTTAACTACTCCTTGTCACATACAAACTTGGTTTTTAAACCATAACACTTGAATCAATGATAGACCTTATGATCTAAAGTGCAGAAGTTATACCGCTCAAATCTCCTCTTTAATTAATTGTCAGCTTATCTAACATCTTCCAACAGCCTTCTAGGATAAATGGCAACCTACTGTTCAATACACACACACACACACACATATATATATATATATATATATACATATACCTAACAGAGACATCTGAACTACAAGGTCAGAATCATTGATCAGAATAGTTAAGATGGTAAGGCTAAAAGTCTGTGTACATGTAGGCTACCTCTTTTATTTTAAAAGAAATGTAATGGGGTTAATTTTCAATGAGTTAATTGCAACAAACAAAACCTGTCAGAAGACCTTTCGATACTTCTTTTTTGAGCATACACTTCAAGAAGTGCAGATATAGGGACAGAGGTACAGTATTTTGAACTCAACTCTACAGGAAATAGAAAACCAATGAAGATTATCCAAAGTACATGTAGGCCGTGACAGTTACTAATATGAGCAATCTGTTTCACAGAGGTATTGCAAAAGCCATCTTATACCTCTGTATAAGATGATTGACCTTTATATATAAGTTCAAGTATGCTGAGGGCACATCACACATCGCTGATCACTGGCTCTATGGCACGTGCATTGTTTCCTTTACTCATTTTATATACCCTTTTACAATAGCATAGGCCTAACCTAAAGGAAATATTTTTTTATCCAGATATACATTATTGTAGGCCTACTTTAAACACCTTTACCTATTTTTCTCATAATTCAAAAAAAAAAAAATGTTCTAGAATTTAATTTGCAGAAAGAAAAAAGTTAATATTGCGAGCTCAAGTGATTGTAGCGCCTAGCGAATATTCACTGCTGATCAGTGTATGAGATCTAGCTGCAAAATTCACAACCACACCAGGTTATTATTTGGTGGTGGTGTGATCGCGTTGTTTCAAAATAAACGCAAATATCAAATACATTGAAAAAACTAAGATTTTGAGATGTACATAACTGTGGTTATTATAATCAATAGCAGTAGAGTAAACATACCATAGCCCATTTATGTTGAAGAGAGCTTCTCGGAAATCTTTGCTAATTTATTTTCGCCATTATGGTTGTATCTATAGAATCAACGTGGATAAAGCCAACCCGAGTAACCCAGAAACTCCATACCATTTATCAGACAGGCTTCTTTTAAAGGCATAACCAAGAACGTAAATGTCATTAATTTCATTGTATATCACATGTAACGTTCAAATTATGTAGTAAAAGATCTGAGTAAAATTCGAATGAACCTTCTTTCAATCTCTTTTCATCTACAACTGGTGTTCAACCAATTCAAGAAAATATTTTCATCATGAAATGGCATATTTGAGATTATTTGTAGTGATTGAATGATCTGATGTCAATTACTTGTGCAAATCCAAATAGGAGAGAGAAAGAGAAATCGAGTTTAACTTCTACTCAACACAAACTTGGTAATTTCGGGACTAACATATGGTTCAATTTTATTACTGTATAAGAGCCTACATAATAAATTGTTGTATTTTATACATGTATATGGTAGTAGAAGCTTTATGGGTATTTTTCAATGATAGCGTATACACAGGCTCTCTCATCTGAATGACTTGTCCTTGCTTACGCCTATATGCATTAGGCTCCCTGGTTTTGTACGATATCAACTTTTTTCAGCTAAGAATTGATCAACATTAAATTGCTTTATTATACATTCTTCATTCGCCCAGGCAGAGCAGAACACTTGGACGTTAAACCCAATATCTTTTCATTGCATATAATAATGTAATATGCATGTATATAAACTGATTTACATTCAATCATTTGCGTTTTTACTCTAATTTCAAATCAGTTATGTTCGGCAAAATACGTCAGTAGTCTCAATCGAATGGCAACCTCCAGCGTCTGGTTATTCCAGTCTACATCAATAATATTTATTGTGCATGATCTCTAGATAGGAATATGGCGTCAGCATTTGACATGATTTGTGGATATGTCTAGCCATTGTTCTTCGTGTCCCTTGCTACAAATGGCACTGACACGCATTACATGTATGTGATTCGTGTAACAATGGTAAAATGTTTTTTTTGTCTTAAATATTGGATATCAGAAGCCCATCTTTTCCTGGTAAGATCACAACATCAATGTTGATTTAAATTGACAAATAATTCGTATTTTCAATTTCGAAGACTTATTTGGATGATATAGAGTTCGATACTTAGCTTCTTTAAATGTATAAGTGCCCCAGAAGTTTTCAACACCCCATTATCGGGAATGTAGTACAGTTTGCCTGGAAAGGAACAGTGTCTAGTCATTTGGATGGACAATAAAATGAGGTCCCGTGTCCAAGTTGGGGTACACATAAAAGAACCCTTAACAGGTTGAAATCAAAATAAGATTAGACTGTAGACCTACTAACACCACTGTCCAGGCAATATACTCTTATAACACAATGCATGGAATATGCCCATCTTCCTTAGTCCAGTTGGTGCAGAAAAGTGGTGTCATTAGGATTAGGAACCAGGGCTTTTTTGTCTGAAAGGATGTCTTGTAAATAAGTGTGGTCAAAGGCAACAATAATAAGAAAGACAACAATCAAAATTCATTCCTTTTAATATGCAATGATATAAATAAATTTGTTCTGTTAAAATTCATTTCCGTCTCAAATAATAAATTGTGTTTTAAGAATCCAATTTGAGATCATGTTGAGAAACCCAGAAACCATCTTCCTGTCTCTGATCACCCATGGCACACAGACATATACTGTTCATATATTGAGAACCAAGAATGTCGTCTTTATAATTATGATACAAATTACTCACAAGAAACTTTGATCCCAACTGTCTTGCTTCCTGTTTTGATATTTTTAAGATAGTAGCATGTGGAACAAATCCGTAATTATCCCTAATCTCAATGCCAGCATTTCTAAAACACTGTTTCAAATGATCAACAAAGTCTAAAAACATTCGTGGATATTTGATTTTAGCGAAAACTGTACGGTTATAAAAATTGTCCACACCTGTTATCTTCAGGGATTCGGACGGTTTTAATTTACATAATTCTGATTGGTTATTTCTTAAAACATCACATGCTTTTAGGATCTGTTCAGCTTGATCTAAACCTAACGTGCATAGTGTAACATGAAAACATGCAGCTGGCATACAACCAGCCTTAAGGTGCGGTTTCTGGTCTGTGATGAAAGTCTGTACTTCTGTAATTTTTCGAACGGCTTCATCGTCAACGATTCTCAGCGCTACGAAATGAGTTGGTCGTTTTAAATGATCTAAATAAAGACATCTACTCGAGGTGTTTATAGATGCAGAATCTAAACTAACTACTATTCCGTCATCATCGCTATCATCCCCATCCTCATCAGTGCTGTTTTCATCTACGTTACAGGTTTTCTTTTTATCCTCATTTGATTTTTCTTTTGACTCATCTTTCGGATGATTTTTTAACCAGGTTTGATATTCGTCCTCATAATTATCTATTATATTTTTGATGGTTTTACCACTGCCAAGAGAGCCAAAAACATTATCTAACTTTGAAGGTTTATCCCAGACTTTAAGATCCTTATATTTAAAGTACTCAATTCTATGTTTAGGAATTGCAAGGACATTGTAATCTACTGATGCAATATCTTCCCAACTAAAAGCAGTGAAGTATTTTTCTTGAATTCCGATAAATCTATCCATATAACCAACGAGGAACTCCTCTTGTACCAAATCTGGATCCCATTGAATTCTTTTGATTACATCTGCAGATGTTTTCATTGATGCTTGTTTGGTATCAATGTCATCAACATTTTCTTCGATTTTCTTTTTTCGGTGTTTCTTTTGATGTTTACGATTATTTGTTTTAGGTTTGGTACCTTTTCCAACACCCTGTTCATTCAGCCATGTTTCGGCCACTGTCATAAGTTCTGTAATCATTGGTTCTTTAATACATGAATTAGCTTTGTTGCCCAATGCTTCTACAAGATCATTTATGTCATTTTCCTCAAGACTTGAAGATCTTATTGAAATCTTAGGGATGGTGGTTGGATATGTATCTAAAAAAGATATTTATTTGAAATATAAATTATTTTTGAGAGAGAGAGAGAAATAGGGTTAACGTCCATTCCATTTGACATGATGTTTTAGAACTTACATATGGTAGAATTTTATTTCAATAATTCCCTTGCATGTAGGAGTCTATATGTTGGGCAGACAACCCTACGGGATTTTAACCATGTCACCTGACTTAATAACAGTGCTTGTGGTATACACGTTAGATCACTAGACCACACAATTAACAAAATTCTCTTCCATCTAAGATGACTTTCAAGATAACAAGTCTGGCACATATCACTACTTCTGGTTATGTACTTCAAGTTAAGCTAATGTTCAATATGAAGGAAAGAAATGGGGTTTTCATCTAAGCTTCATCAAATTATCAAAGGTTCTTTATCTTTAAACCAAAACTGTACTGAACTGGATTTGAAAACTTCTGAGAATCTTCACAGCCCATTCAGGGATTCGAACCTGTGACATTCTTGTTTAGTTAGCTAATATAATGATTCCCCAGTGTATATTTTTATCTAAACTAATGTTCAAGATAACATGTCTAGAATATATCTTAGCATGCACCCAAATATACTACAGCTAATCCTCAAAATCCTAATCTCTTTATGTATAGCGTATGGCATAGTCACACTTACCCTTTAACTGGAATTTTATAGTTAAATCCATATTTTTAGGCTGTAAAGTAATAGATCTGATAAATCCACTACCATTTTCTCCTAATTCAACAATTCTACATCTTCCAGCAAATTCTACTTTCAATGATGCAACTTCCTCTTCTTGTTTGCCTGCCATGATCCTTTTTTTTACTCGCACCTATAAAATATATGTTGGATAGAATTATTAATAAACAGAAAATGTAATATGAACCTTTCCTTTGTTAAGCAAAATGTGTTAATGGTCACAAGAAATGGGGTGGGGTTATGCCCTATGTTCCCGCTCCCTTCTGTCACTCCATCCCTGACATATTAATTCATAGTAAATATATATTATTAACTTTTGGTTTAACCACTTTATATTTTTTCATGCACTGAATGAAAGGGGCATGCCAGGATAAAATGGTGGGCTAGATTCAATCTGATTAAAACACAGATCCTATTTCATTTTGTTTTTTTAATTGTTCAAAATTTTGTTTTACTTGTCTTCACTAGGCAAGTAGGATCTGGATGAGTCGCAAAGTCTTAAAAAATATAAATAAAACATTGATCTGTATATTAATCAGATTGGGTTAGATTATTTCAAGATAGCATGGACCTTATGTATTATATGTTCACTAGTATGCTATATTTGCTAGTATGTCACATTGTGCAACTCAAAATATCCAACTACGTACCATATTGACTCAGAGTCGGTAGCCCCAAAGAGCTAGCTCACTATAACCAGGTGGTCTGGGATTCAATTCCTGTGTTGGCCAAGAAAATTCCTGAAGATTTTCCAGTGTGGTTTCCACTATTCATGACAAGATAGTGTACGTGTCTAGTCATTCAGATGGACCAAGAACAGTGACGTCATGTATGGACAGTTGAAAGTTGGAATTTAATGAGTAACTGGGAATGCCGCTATCCTGGCAATATTTCCACATTATTATAGAACCTCTGTCAGTCAAAGAATTCAGAACAGTTAAAATTTAGCAGGCATTTGAGCAGAGTGCATAGAAAGGATATGTGGTGTCATGTCACAATCTGAGCCTGGTCAAAAATTTTAACATATTGAAGAACTACGTAAAGCACGTACATTAAATACCCAGCTTTCAGCCTTCTCAGCAAATCCTGAGATTTCCCCCAATTTTATTTATCTTTTTGACCAACCAAAATCAATTGCCAAGGCAGTGGCCTATGTTTTTTGCTTGGGAATTCCATTAACCAAAATTCTTTAGATGTATTATTACTGTTTGTATAAACCTGTATTCTCTCAATGTATTACTCGTACTTATGTATGTATCTGTGTATTGTATTATAGATGTAGGCCTATGTGACTGTCTAAATGTATGTCTAGCCTTAGCTTTAGCTGCAACATTGTAGCGGTGTCTTGTATGGTTGGACCGAGACGGAAGACATCACCTGGCCCGTAGCTAGCCTGCTGGTTGCGGAGGGGGCGGTGAACTTTTTAGCCGAACGAAGGGGGGTACCGGGGTCCTTCCCAAAAAAATTGTGAAAATGGAATGTCCACGGACACGTTTTTCAGACCAGAAAATCGTTCTCTAGCAAACTCTGAAAAATGAACACAAAGACAGGCCCCATTGGCATTGGGAAAGTCAGTACAAAATATATGGCAGATAGATGTCAGAACATATATAACACCTGCATGTTCCTGAAACAACAACGACTACAAGTTTTACAACATCCTTGATAAGATGTACGGAGATAAAACCTTCTATTGAAGATGATGCATGCTGTCCTTAATGGGAGTCTTGATGAAATAAACATCTTATATACTATTAGGCTACAAATTATATTACTGCAGTGCAAGTAATTATTTTAGTAATAAATAGATGAACATTATTTTCCGTGGAGACCTAATTAAATGATAATAAAAAAAAGTTTAGAAATTTGATTGCACATTACCTGTAGGATATGTATTCCCCCTGGCCCTGCTCTGTTATCGGCTCTATATGCTTTTATCGTATTTATAGTAAAACATTTATTTGCTATTTACCGTTTGTGGTGCAACATTGTACGTCATACCTATTAATAGACCCATAAGGTAGACAACTCCATTTTAAAAGAAAGTGGAATGAGACAACTAAATATATTCTAAAAATATTTGCAAGAACACTAACTTCTAAAAGTAAACTGCAAAGTTAACCGTAATGATATATTTATAAACTGACCTACGCACACTATACATCAATCTTTAAAAACACGACAAAACAACCCCAAAACAACTTCAATTACCCAAAACAACCTATACTTTGGTTAAAACAATACTTTATCATATACTTTATCTAAAAAAAAAATTGTGTTGGGATCTTTGTGGTAATAAAGATTAAAAACATCACAGTGTTTAATAAAAAAAAATGTTTAAAGGGACAATAACACTTTTGCTGACTTGACAGCCCAAGAAAATAAAAAATAGTCTTATTTTAAGTACTAGATGTGTTAGTATCCGTCCAATTTTTTGCACCTGTATTTCATATTTTGTTTATTGTATGTTGTCCTCAAGGGAGGTTCCGATGCACTTAATATTTCGTATATTGTATGCTTTCCTCATAATCAAGGGAGATTCCGATGCAATATTGTGTGCCTTGTGTAATAATTGTCATATTGTTATAATTTTTATGTACACGTTTATATTGTATGCTGTCCTAAATGGATGTTTCGATGCAATAAAAATCTTATCTTATCTTATCTTACCTGTTGTGTAAATTATCCATTAAATCCAATTTTACTTGTCCAGAGGGTTCAAAAATATTTTTAAATCCAAGTCACATTTGAAAAGCTTTACGTCAGGCTTTTCAAATCATTTAGTTGAATTTTTCCAACTTTTTAAATTAGGTGTGTTAAGATGAAATTTCTATCATCAATTAATTGGAATATTGTAAAATAGTACAATTTGTTGACCAGAATAAAGATTGGGATATATTATTCAGTTACAACAAGAGTGGTATTGAGCCTTTAAGTCAAAGAAATTTCATGTATTTAACATTAAAGTCAATGGGGCGAGATCTACTAGCTATAGTCTGACTCTAAAAAGTCTTTACAAGAAAAAAACAACCTAGAATGACAATAAGAGGTGTCTTTCATTTATATTCTCTTTTTTTTTCAGAACTTAAAAAAAGAGTAGAGTTTAGGAAACTTAAAAAAAGAGAGTATTTAGGGAATACTAAGCATCCGCACATATAAAACTGAAGAGAAAACATAAAATCTGTTGTTTTAAGCAAAATACGTGTTAAAAAACAAAAAAAAAAAACAACACAATTTATATGGAAATACAATCACTGTTTTATAGGGATAGCACGACGTTTCGACAAATATTCTCTTATCGTTATCGACGTTTCGACAAATATTCTCTTATCGTTATCGATAACGATAAGAGAATATTTGTCGAAATAACGATAAGAGAATATTTGTCGAAACGTCGTGCTACGATAAGAGAATGCCACGTAACCACAGAAATAACAAGCGAATGCCACGCGACGCACGTCCCGATTTTTCAACACTTCACATCAAATTATAAATAAATCTGTTAAAAAATGTAGCCTCTATCGCGTTCACAAGATTTTCGGAAAAGAGGGGTAAGTTCGAAACGGAATGTCACGGATTTCCGACACCTGATAGGGTTCGTCCTCTCATGAACCATATGCACCAAATTTTAAATTAAATTTGTTATATCAAATTCATTTCTCAATCTAGAGATGCATGCCTTATTTTTAAAATTATTTTTCAATCAGATTTATTGTTTAAATGTATTATTAATTGGCTTGACCTAGTCGGTCTATGTTGTTTATTATTATGTTATTCGTGAATTTTAACATTAATCTTTCAAATGTGAATCTGTTTGTTTACAAATTTTAACATTTACTACTCCTTGAATTTATTTTCATTACGTTGTTACCTAGTAAATGGTTTGAATCTGCGAGGTTCCAGAGTGTATAATCTAGACAGTTGTGACATGCCTACAGAATACCATGTTTAAATCAGGTAATGCCATGGACAGGGGTACATAGCACTACTACATCTGCACAGAGAGAGTTTCCAAAGCAAATGGACTAATCACAGAGCCCAAGATACCGACGCAGGACTGGATTAACCATTTGGCAAAATAACCACGCGCTTCGGGCATCATAGGAAAGGGGGCACCACATATTTCTGCATTGTTACATGACGAATTCAAAATATGTTAATTAAAACTTAAACAAGCATTATGTAAGAGCTAAATCAGCCTATTGCAGGTCTTTGACTTTGGGCCTTAAATGTTACATAAATTATTAATTAAACATTTATTAACATGACAAGACCACAACCAACTCTCGATGCCATCGGATTGCTCCGATTTGAAGTAGATATGTGTAAATACAGAAGGTCCGTTGTTGTACAAGAAAGAGTTTACAACTTGCACCACAGATTAGAGGGCATTGGTGAAACAAATATCAAACAATCATCTACACGAATCAAAGTGTAAAGCCTGCAATTATTGAATAAGTGAATAACATCAGTTACTATTTATATACTTACATGTACATCGGGTTGCAAAAAATACATCAAATACATGTTATCTGGAACGGAATCCATGTTCTTGAATAGGTTGTCAGAAATCGGGGTATATCAATACGTACCCCACCCATTCAAAAAGCTAGACATTCCTGGTTTCAAATAAAAAAGTATCATAATCGAGATTCCATAAATATTTAGAAGAAACTGGCCGTTATTAGAGGGTTAAATTGCATTTTAAAGTACAACTAGAAGAAAGTAAAAAAATTGGGCTGTAATCTGATTCGACAAAAGTTTATGGTTTATGGGGAGCACTCTGTAGTTGTAATTGTTTCTTTTATACATGTATAAAGACATACTCTCCGTCGCTTATCTGATCATGGTGATAGAAGATAAAAAAAAATGTTTTATTTTAACATACTAAGCTGCAAAAGAAACGTCAAGTTGGTATATGTTACTCTGAATAGACGCATTGCATAAAACTTGCCAAATGTTTTTATTGTATATTTGTGACCAAATCTCCAACTTTACATGAACAATAAGGCTCCTTCACAGAATTAAACTCAGGAAATATTCTCAAAAACGCAACCTAACTTCTGAGATGGTAATGTGTTCTCCGTGATTTTCATGTAACTCATGCTGCACATGCTGTTCACCGGGACCAGCCCTATAAAATGCACCCCATAACTGGTTGAATCATTCACACTAAAACGTCAGCAGCATGCCACGACCCACGACAGCCCAGAGGAACCAGGCCCTTGGAAGACTCGACGCTGGCCACACTGCCCAAGCTATTGCCAATCACTTCCAGGTCAATGTTCGGACCATCTACAAGCTTCAGCAACGCTTTCGGGCCACCAACACCACGGATGATCGCCCCCGAACTGGTAGACCAAGGGTTACCACAAGGCGACAAGACCGCCATGTTGTGCGACAGCACGTCCAGAATCCCTTCACACAGGCATCTGAAGTGAGACAGCACGCCAGACAGTGTGAACACACCGAAAACCCATCAGTCCCGATACAGTGCGCCGACGTCTCACCAGAGAGAACATCCATTGCCGTAGACCTTACCGTGGACCGATCCTCACCCCTCGCCATCGATGTGAACGTCTATAGTGTGCCCAACAACACCAGAACTGGCGACACGGGCAATGGATAACTGCTCTGTTCACATATGAGAGTCGGTATTGCGTATCAACTGCAGATAGCAGGACCAGAATATGGCGTCGACGTGGCCAACATTATTCTGACCAATGTCTCATTGGGAGGTCCAAGCATAATGGTTTGGGGTGGAATCGGACTGAAACAGAGAGTGGGTCTTGTGATGTTCCCAAATCTTGGTCCAGGGAGAGGAGGCGGCATCACAGCAGTGCGCTACATCAATCAAGCTCTCAGACCCCACGTCATACCACATTTCGCAAATCATCGAAACAACGTTTTCCAGCATGACAACGTCCGTGCCCACACCGCCAGAGTTACTCGGAACTTTCTACAGCAGAACGGTGTCAACAGTATGCACTGGCCAGCCCTTAGTCCGGACTTAAACCCGATTGAACATCTTTGGGATGAAATTCAGAGGAGACTTAATAACGTCGTACCGACCCCTAACACAGCCGATGGATTGCGCCAGGCTTTTCTGGGAGTGTGGTCCCAGGTGCCAATGGCGTTCATCAATCGTCTGGTCCACTCCATGTACATACGCTGCGCTGCTGTTCTTGACAGTAATGACACTCGCAGTGGACACACCAGATACTGATGTATAGACTGTACAGACTCTAAATCTCATCGTAATGTCTTGGAATTGTGATGAATTAAACACTAATGTGTCAACATACTGTTCACAAAAAAAATGCTTTGATCCATTTAGTAAGTCGTTTTCTAGAATGATTTGATTAAAGTGCCTCTCTGATTTTGAAATCGTACTGACGGTATTTATTATACGCCCACATTTTCGTGTAGACGTACATTGTCGTCGCCCCTGTCCGCCCGCCGTCCGTCCACAATTTGTTTGTAAACACTCTACAGGTTACAATTGGACGGTCTAGAGCACAAGTGATCTAACTACCAACCGTTTTAGTTGGTTGTTAGATCACTTGTGCTCTAGACCCTCCAATTTTTATCCGATTTTGACGAAACTTGAAATATAGGTCTATCTCCCTAAGATCTCAGTTCCTGTCGATATTGGTATGTATCGGACCATAGCTAAATGGATTATGGCCCCTGATTGTACGAAAAATCACGTTTTTAGCTTGTGGAAGCTCTAGAGGTCACAATGTTGATCCGATTTTGATGAAACTTGAAATGCATGTTTATAACCGAAATATATTGGTTCCTTTTAGTATTCGCGCATATCAGATCGTAACTTCCTGAATTATGGCTCCTGATTGTACGAAAAATCACAATTTTTATTCGATTTAAAAAAAAACAACGTGTGGATATATCACAGTTATACACTGATGGTTGAATTCAAATTTCGTAAAAATCGGACGAAAACTGACGGACATAATGGCCGCCCCTTGTATGCAAATAGTGTAAAATTACGGTATATCAA